GTTCACTGACCCAGTCTGTTCTGTGTAGCTTTGTCCCCTACTCCCAAACCTTATCCACACAGCTGCTTGAAATCTCTGGACAGTCGAGTGTGGGCACCTGCCCGCTGGAGGCAGGGCTGACACCCGAAGCCTCTGACCTGTCTGTCCCTCACAGGCCCCTGCAAGGCTGCAGCATGTCCTGGCTATTTGCTTGCTTCCCTCACCAGCACCCAGTTCCTGCTCTTCTGTGGTCATTTAACCAAAGATTATGGTGCCAACATCAGCAGATTTACCCATGTGCCATTGGTCAGCATAGTACTGGTGGTTCCAGCTATTGTCAGGTTTACTTTTAGAGATCTGGTCCAGCCCATGTTGTGGTGAGGGTGGGATTACTGAGAACCCAGCCCAACTCCTCAAAGCCCCTCAGTACCACCAGGCCACCTCCATCCCCTGGCTAGTACCTCTTCTCCTACCTATGGTTGTTGTTATTGTTGTTATGTGCCGTCGAGTCGCCTGCGACTCATAGCAACCCTATGCACAACAGCCCTAAACTCCACTCTGTCCTGTGCCAATCGCACCGTCTCCGACACTCCCATCCCAATTATCCCAGTCACTGAATCAATCCACCTTACAGAGGGCCTTCCTCTCCTGCGCTGTCCCTCCACCCTCCCAAGCATGATGTCCCTCTCCAAGGACTGGTCTCTCCTCACAACATGTCCAAAGTATGTTAGACAGAGCCTCAGAATCCTTGCCTCCAAGGAGCCACCCAGTTTAACCCTTTCCAGGACAAATCTGTTTGTTTTCCTAGCAGTCCATGATATTCTCAGTACTCTTCTCCAGCACCACAGCTCAAAGGCATCAATTCTCCTTCTATCCTCCTTGGTCATTGTCCAACTCTCTGATGCATAACAAGTGATTGGGAAGACCAAAATGGGGAACATCAAATTATGAATGTACCCATACTAGACATATGTGAAGCTGTACACAAATACACAGTTGTGCACACACCCTAGTACACACTGTAACCCCACTACAGACGTGTGTGCAAGTGTACCTGAGTGCACACACCCTAGTATACACTGTACCACATTATAAACGTGCAGCTGTACTTGAGTACATACACCCCAGTACACACTGTACCACATTATAGACGTGCAGCTGTACATGAGTACACACACTCTGCCCACACTGCAGACGTGTGTGCACCTGTGTGCTCAGGCAGATTTATGTGTCTGACACATATATCCAGACACATGCTCTCAGTCATGTATGCCACCCCATGTGTGCAGACACACTGTGAACCCATGGATGCACATAGACACATACTCAGGTATGTAAGTGAACCCATGTGTGCAAACCCTGCATACAGACATGTATGTGAACCTATGCACACAAGCAGCCGTGTTTGTGGCTCTCTGAGCACAGATATGTATGAAGTCTGCACACATACACGTATCTGGACCCATGTGTATGGACATGTATATGGACCCATGTGCATGCAGAATCTTTAGGGGATATACCCACACTTGATCCTATAGTAGACCCGTGAGTATGTGGATGTGTGAATGCAGACATGTGAATATAAGCAGATTTGTGCCTGCCAACATGTATGCAGACCTGTGCATATGCATACATACAGTACTGCAAGCAAACGTGTATTGCCCTCTGTGTGCAGGCCCAATACTGGACATAGACACATTGGCTGACCTGTATGTGCAAATCCACAATAGTGGACCCAGACATATATGCTGACCTGTCTGTGCAGACACAATACTGGATATGGAAACATACACTGACCTGTGCTTATAGGCACACAATACTGAACACAGACACATCCACCAACCTGTGCAGACACTATACTGAACGCAGACATGTACACCAATCTGTATGTGCAGGCGCACAGTACTGGACGCAGACATGTACACTGAACTGTGCAGGCAGGCACGTGTACCATCCTGTGAGTGCAGACACACAGTACTAGATGCCAGCATGTGCATAGATCAGCTTGCCCAACTGCAGACACAGCACAGCCTCAGACTCCCCACGGCCATTATCTGAACACAACACAGCCATGTACTGTTGCACATCCATGTTTGTGCACATGTACCTAAAATCTTGCAGTGGCCTCTGCTGTCTTGAAGAGCCAGGCCCCATCTGAACCCCACATCCCTGCCCCCTGGTCAGCATCTACATATCCTCTCTCTGGTCTCCTACATGGTAACAACATTTACTGGCATGACAGTTGCTCCATCTGTACTAGAGTGTCATTGTCAGATTTGTCATGGGCCGCCGCCTCTGAACATCCCACCACCCTTCACAGGGCACAGTGTCCCATAGTACTTTGTCCACACACTGTTTAACTTCTAAGCCTTGGTCTCTGTCTCTCTTATTGCCTGCTCTAGATGTTGTGATATCCATTGCTGACTAATGCTTTCACAGCCTCTTTTGGCCCCTCCTTGGGGCTCTCTTGATCTGTGGGCCTGCCCTCTCTGCTCTTTCTCTATTTTATGTTAATTTCAGCATGGCTGAATGGTGCTGTAGCAGCATCCACTGGTCGAGTCTGGGAACAATGTGGTCTCCAGCTGGCCCTCAACCCAAGGAAGCAGCTTTCAGGGTTCATCCCAGATGGGACATCCCCAAGGAACTAACTGGCTGGAGCCTGGTAGGAGGCAGAGCCCTGTGGTCAGAATGGAGGGAGCTGTCCATCCTGGGCAACAGCTTTCAGGGTTTGTCCTGGATTGGGCACTCTTGAGAGGTCCAGGAGCCTGATAGCAAGTGCAGGCTGGGGGACAGCCACACCAGTATGGCCCCACCTGCTTGGTTCTGGAAGGCGGCATGCCATTTCCTGTGAAGGATGCCACAGTTTCTTGGGAGAAAAAACTGTTAGCAGCATACAGACCAAGGGAAGAGTGTGGGACAGGCCCCACCAGATGTGGATAGGGGCAAGTTGACCTATGTAGGATGGGTCCAGGGGTGTGCAGTGCTGTTTGTGGCCAGGGAGTGTGGGTCAGGGTCTCTAAGAGGAATCCAGCATCCAGCTGGGCCCAGCTGTGAGAGCAGCCAAAACAAAAGACATAGGCAGGGGAGGCTACCCCACCGGGGAAGCCAGCACCTCTGCCCATAGCCAGTGTGGGGACAAGGTGACACTATGACCCCTGAGGACAGGGTATATCCCTGAGGTTTGGAGCAAGCAGAGGCTAGTTGGCTAGAGGTGCTGAATGTGCCTCCAGGGGGAGCAGTAGCCTGGGCTCCAGCAGCCTGCCTGGAGGCCACAAGGTGGGCTCTGGTCTCAGACAGCAGGCAGATCAGGGGCTGAAGGCAGCAGGATCAGGTGCAAGCTGGGGAACAAGGCAAGGAAGGTTTAGTTTGTCACTTTGACCTCCCCAGGTAAGCCAGAGCTGAGCCCAAAGATGCACTTCCCAGCTGCAGGGTGGAGGGAACACATGTGCCCTGAGGGGACTGACCAGACTGAGAAGCTGATGAGCACTGCAGACTAATTCGCTACTACTCCTGGAGCACTCAGGGCTCCATCCCACCTGACCACCTGCTGACCAGACCACCTCCACCCACCACCCTGATCCCTGGTCACCCACAGTGTCTCATATTCCCATGTCTCCACCCAGCTCTGATCTCTCCCAGGCAGGAAGGCAAGGTCCAGAGGGCCTCAGTGAGCCAGACCCACTAGAAATGGAGTGGATGGGCCATTGGTCCACCAAGGCCAGGCTCTGCCTAGAATGGTGCTCCCCGGTCATCCATCATGGCCAGGCCACACCCAGGCCCTGCCTAGAGTGGTACTCTCCAGGCATCCACCATGGCCAGACCACACCTAGAATGGTGCTTTCCAGTCGTCCACTGTGACTGAGCTCCCCTAGAATGATGCTCACAGAAGTGTCCCTTAGATAGAGAAGCACACAGGAATCCCCAGAATGCTACATTAGGCACACAACCCTGGAAACTAAGGCATGGTAACGGTGCAGCCATCAGTGCGGGTGCTGCAGTGGTCTCCCACCCCTCTGTGTGTCCAGCTCAGCAGGACTCCCGTGGGCTTCTTGGACTCCTGTTCTCAGTGAGAGTGGAGCTGTTTGGGCCTTGGGCCCACTGCTACCTGCAAATCTGGCTTCAGGTCAGCTCAGCAAGGGCTGGGAGGCAGCAGAATTGGCCACAATGCTTGTCCCAGAAAGCAGCTGCCCCAGCCCTACCCTGTTGTTACCCTTTTTCATATCTGTATCTGCTCCTGGTAGGTGGTGGCCAGATGTACAGCCTCTCGACGGAGCAGCCCACGGTGGCCAACCCTTCAACTCTGATGAGCAGTGTCCCCACAGCAATAGTAGAGACACCCTGACCCTGGAGCCCATCACTGACCCGGAGCCGAACAGCAGAGACATCTCAATTCTGGAGGCTCCAATGCACGTAAGTGGACAGTGGACAGCCTCCCACCACTGATCAGACCACACAGCAGAGGCACCCAGACCCTGGAAACCCCATCACTGACCTGGAGCCAAACGGCAGACACCTCAACTCCAGGGGTCCCAGCACACCTAAGTGGACAGTAGATGGCCTTCTGCCACTAACCAGACCACACAGCAGAGACACCCCAACCCTGAAGGCCCAGCCGCTGACCTGGAGCCACACGGCAGAGACACACCGACCCTAGAGCCCTGCTGCTGACGTGGAGCTGAACAGCAGAGACCTCTCAACCCTGGAGGCCCCAGCACACCTAAGTGGACGGCAAACAGCCTCCCGCCACTGACTAGAGCCACACAACAGACACCCCGACCTGGAGGCTATCCCACTGACCTGGAGCCCCACAGTCTCCCACTGCTGAGCCAGAGCTGCTCGGTTGGAGGGCAGCGGGCTGTGTCTGGGATGGCCATACCCGCTGGGGCCCCCTCACAGCACCAGAGGCTACAGTGTGGTGGCCGGCCTGTGCCCCCCAGCAGGTACTGAGCACAGGGTGGCCACTCAGCATCGTGTCGCAGCACCAACAGGCAGAGCGGCGTGAGGACAGGGCTCAGCTGAGCACGGTGGCCGGCCACCTCGGACCATGGGATGCCGGCAGAGCTCCGAGGAGAAGGAGGCAGCGCGGCGTTCCCGGCGCATTGATCGCCACCTGCGCTCCGAGAGCCAGCGGCAACGACGCGAGATCAAGCTGCTGCTCCTGGGCACCAGCAACTCTGGCAAGAGCACGATCGTTAAGCAGATGAAGATCATCCACAGTGGGGGCTTCAACCTGGAGGCCTGCAGGGAGTACCGGCCCCTCATCATTTACAACGCCATCGACTCCCTCACCCGCATCACCCGTGCTCTGGCTGCCCTGCGCATTGACTTCCACAACCCAGACCGCGCCTACGATGCTGTGCAGCTCTTTGCGCTCACGGGACCAGCTGAGAGCAAAGGCGAGATCACACCCGAACTGCTGGGCGTCATGCGGCGGCTGTGGGCCGACCCCGGTGCGCAGGCCTGCTTCGGCCGCTCCAGCGAGTACCACCTGGAGGACAATGCGGCCTACTACCTGAACGACCTGGAGCGCATCGCCGCGCCCGACTACATCCCCACGGTGGAGGACATCCTGCGCTCACGCGACATGACCACAGGCATTGTGGAGAACAAGTTCACCTTCAAGGAGCTGACCTTCAAGATGGTGGACGTGGGCGGCCAGCGCTCAGAGCGTAAGAAGTGGATCCACTGCTTCGAGGGCGTGACTGCCATCATCTTCTGCGTGGAGCTCAGTGGCTATGACCTGAAGCTCTACGAGGACAACCAGACGGTAGGTACCCCGCTGCACCCCCATGCTGACTCAGTGGTGGTGGAGAGAGCACAGAGTTGCAGGTGGACTGTGGTTCCGGGTAGCAGGGTGGGTCTCCTGTGTGGATGCAGCCCCACATGGACAGATGTAGGCAGTGTCCCCCTTAAGAGGGAATGGGCCAGCTCCTGGTGATTACTGTGCCCCAGACTCCACACAGGGTAGATGCATGCTGTGGTCTCAGCCTTGGTTGAGTGGGCAGCAGATGGAGGTATAGACTGCCAACCTTTTACAGGACACCTCAAGCCTGTGTGCAGCCAGCTCCCTGGTCCAAGGAGAGCAGGCCAGTGAACTGGAAACACAGGAAGGGCCAATCACTGAGGGTGAGCCTCTTCTGATGTGGAGTCCAGAGGTAGGGTCCCTGGGCTACAGCAGCCAGGAATGGTGTCCACTGAGGAGGAAGAAGAGCTGATGCCATGAGGACAGAAGCCAGTGGGTGGGTTTGGTGATTCCATCATGGGTGATAGGTGAGCCCAGGTCCAGCAGTGACCGGTCCAATTGGTGACTCTCCAAGTCCTCAGAGACCCAACTGGCCCTCAGTCCAGGGCGGTAGGAGCAGAGGCTAGCACTGGAGACTGGTGCTGAAGCAGCAGAGACCAGGACCCATACCCAGGGCTGCCAGGGCCTTCTTGTAGCAGGGCCACTCACCTCCACCCCCTCCTGGATGCTCAATGCTCAGGGGCCAGGCGGGCTCACAGGCAGATCTGGCAGCCAGGCTTGTGCCCTCCACCCTAACTCTGTGGCTAGGAGGAGATGGCCGTTCACCAGAAAAGGAAATGACTCTTCTGGAACACGCCAGTAAGGCTGCATAGTCACTAGATTCCAGATGGTGACCTTTCACTCTTTACAGTGAGATCAGCCTGTGATTCCTGAGGCCACCAGACAGCTCCTCCAGCTGCTGCTGCGGGTGTGAGCATAGGCAAGGCTGAGGACAGGCTGCTGTGCCCAGTGGGCACCATGCTGGCTGAGGAGCCTGGGGTGGAAACCCTGAAGGGGGGGGCTCCACTAGGTGGGACAGGATAGTCCAAGCTCCTGCTGGTCATCCCTGTCCCATAGTCCTCCCCTTACCCCACACTGTCCTCCCCCGACCCCACACTGCCTCCTCCATTGCCTCACAGTCCTCGGCACCCCACATTTTACCCCATACACACTCTCCTCCCCTGCATGCCACACTGTTCTCCCCACACTATCCTCCCCATACCCCACACTGTCAACCCTGCACCATATGGTTCTCCCTAACACCTCACACTTCCCCCTACACCTTCCACGATCCTCTTCCCCCAGCCCACTATCTACTCCTCTACCCTATACTGTCCTCCCTGTACCCCACACTGTCACCCCTACACCACATGGTTCTCCCTAATAACTTAGACATCCCCCTACACCTTCCACGATCCTCCTCTCCCAGCCCAAACTGTCTACTCCTTCACCCCATACTGTCCTCTCCTGTACCCCCCAATCTCCCCTGCTGTGTCACAGTCCTCCCCCATGCCCCACACTATTTCCCCACACACACCCTAGACTGTCTCTGCTACAGTCCCACACTGTTCCCTCTCTGCACCCCACATTGTCCTCCCCAACATCCCACACTGTCTCACCAAGCACCCCAGTCTTTCCCCACCCCACACTGTCCTTCCTAGCACCTCACACTGTCTCACACACACCCCCCACAGCCTCCCCCATCCCACCCTGTCCTTCCCCACACCCCACACTGTCCACCCCACACTGTCTCCACCTGCATCCAGTACTGTCTCACCCTTGCCCCACACTGTCCTCCCCCATACCCCACACTTTCCACTCCCATACCCCACATTGTCTCACACTGTCTTCCCCCACACCCCACACATAACCAGCACTGTCTCCCCCTGACAGCCCACAGTGTCCCCTCCATTTTGTTCCCCGATACTTTCCACACTGTTCTCCCCTGCCTCACAGTCTTTCCCGCTGCCCCACAATATCTCCCCCTATCCTACACTGTCTTTCCCTACACACGGTCTCCCCGCTGCCGCACAGTCTTCCCACACACACTGTCCTCCCTCCATCCTATACTGTCCTCCCCAACTATACACTCCCACTCTGCACTGTCCTCCCCCACCCCACACTGTTCTCCCCTTGCTCTATACTGCCCTCCCCCACTGTACTACTCTTTCATCCCATAGTCCTCCCCTACCCTACTCTTTTCTCCCCCCGCCCCACATTGTCTTTCCCCACCCCGCTGCACCATTCCGTCATCTGCCCAGCTGAGGAAAGTATCAAGACCCAGGCAGGTTCCAGGACCAAGAGGAGAGACATTGGTCAGAGCAGGTCTGCTGCCTTGATGTCTCAGCAGGAATCCATATGCCCACGGCCATGTACCACAGTGCTCTCTGGGCTGAGGAGTCACATGACCAGCCACAATGCTGCCCTTATGTGATGGCTGAGCTGTTTCCATATTTTTGCCAGGCTGTCCCCACATGACAACCAGGCTATCCCCATGTGATGGCTGATCTGTCTCTGTGTTATGGCCAAGCTGTCCCCACATGATAGCAGGGCTGTCCCCGTCTGATGACCGGGCTGTCCCTCTCTTACAATGGGGCTGTCCCCATGTGACATCCAGGCTGACCCCCTGTAACGATGGGGTTACAGCAGGGATGTCCTCATATTATGGCAGAGCCACACTGCCTACCTGTGCTGCCTGTGGGCCTAGACAGGGCTGACCAGAGCCCTGTGCTGGTAGGCAGAGAAGGAACTGCCAAATACTGCAGTTAAGGCTTCATGTGGCAGTCATAGCTTCATCATCACAAGTTCTGCGCAGCCATCCTCCAAGGTGTACAGGGCCAATGTGGCCACACATGGGTGCCTCTTGGTCATTCAGCGTCCTGCTCCCGCCCCACCAACCCATGGTCAAAATACGTGGAGATTCACCCCAGGGATGTGCCCTTCAGCAGGGTCTCAGGCAGCCATTGCTCCGCAGCCCACCTCTTTGGTCATCTCTTCCTGGTCCTGTGGTCACCTCTGTCCAGCCCTGCCTTCACATTTCCTGAGCCCTGCACTCACCCCTGGCCAGCCCTGCACTCACCTCTGCCCAATCCTGTGGTCATCACTACTCAGCCCAGCAGTCACCTCTGCCCAGCCCAGCAATCACCTCTGCCCAAGCTTGCGGTCACCTTTGCCCAAGCCTGTGGTCACCTCTGCCCAGCCCTGTGTTCACCTTTGCCCACCCAGTGCTCACTTTTGCCCATCCCTGTGGTTATCTCTGCTCATCCTTGCTTACCCAGGCTGTATGGGGGTTCAGTAGATGTTTGTGGAAGGGGCACAATGAGAGCCCAGTTCTAGATTCCTGACTTGAAGGTGCAGGATACTAGCCTCCCAGGGAGTGTGTGGGGCACTGAGTCTAACAGGGTTATGGTTCCCTATACCAGACTTCTGTCTCTCCACTCCTGGAGGACATGAAGCCCACACAGGTCACTGTCAGGAACAGCTTTCTCTGACCTTCTGAGGCCAAGGCTGTTTGTCACCCATCCCCAGGCAGCAGCTCCTGGCCTTGGGCTGCCCCATCACATTATGCTGTTAGGTGCTGGGGAATGTGCTGTAGTGTGGGCATGTCACATCCATTTGAGCCTAACACTGCCCATCCTGCCCCGTTCTTGGGGTGGTTGTCTGCCTTTGTGTCAGTTATTCTCAGCGAAACTCTTCTCTCTGTTGAACTTACCAAATGACTGAGCTTGCTGGTGATGCATCTGAAAGGAGAGAATTGTGTTCTTGCCACACTTGCTTCCAAGGAGCACTTGTTCTTTGCCCCAACATGCCACTTCTTCTGTCCTCCTTTCTCAGTGGATGCTTATTCTCACCAGGACAGACATCAGCAGCACTGATGTTGTATGCATTTATGTCCATCTGGTTTCTGTTTTAGAAATTTGATGAGTTTTGTGGCATCTTGTCAGGAAGAGTTATCCTCAGTGGGAGTGACCATAAGGATGGACAGACATTGGACAAGCCCTTAGCCCCTACTAGCTGGTGACTGAGTGTTTGTAAGCAAGCCACAGTGAGTCCTGAGTGCTAGCTGCAGCTATACTCCAGTCCCTGCCTGTCCCCTGGGAGATGACTGGCCAGGAGGGTGCCACGCTCTCTCAGCCTCGGCCGCCTGCACAGAGGATGTAGCCCAGTTCTACCCTCACTACTGGAGTGGGCCTTTTCCTCCCTATCTGAGGGAGCAGCCCTCATTCTATTCACAGGGGGGGGAAATAAAAAAACAAAATACAAAACTTTATAATGCCTGGTGTGTGTGGCCGGATCCACGGGCAGGTGCTATGCTTCTTCCTGGATGACAGGAAGGACCAGATGCAGACTGTGAAGTCACTGGTCCTGGCCCAAAGGAGCCACAAGCCCTCCCCTGCTCCAACTGGTAGGACAAGAAAGTTGGGGGAAGCTTTGTTAGTAACAGAGCCTGAAAAATTTTTTTGTACCCTGCAGGATTGTCCTGACCATGAAGCTGTGAGACTGGGACTGTGAGACTGGGTGGGTTGTAAGGACTGTGTGACTACGTGAGGGCTGTGAAGGCTCTGAAAGCTGTATGGGCCATGTGGATTGTGTGGACTGTGTGAGATCTGTGAGGACTGTAGGGACTGTGTGGACTATGAGGGCTATGGAGATTGTATTGGCTATGTCGACTTTGTGGGCTGTGAGAACTCTGGGGCTGTGCTGTGAAGGATGACTGAGGGCTATGAGACTGAGGGCAGTGTAGGCTATGGGGATTGTGAGGCTGGGGGGCTGTGTGGACTGTGTGATGGCTGGACTGTGAGCTCTGGGGTCTGTGTAGACTATATGGACTGGGTAGACTCTGTGAGGACTGTGGGGGATGTGTGGACTGAACGAGCTGTGGGGACTGTATGGACTGTGTGAGGGGTGTGGGGGCTTGTGAGCTGTAAGGACTGTTTGGACTATGGACACTATGAGGACTGTACAGGCTGTGGAGTCTATGTGAA